CCACTGGGTTACCAGGTTTGAACTATTATCGCCATTGTTGGCAGTGTTTACATTTATCAGGTTCTTTTCAAAAGTGCTTCCGATGTTTTGAGTTTTTCCGTATTTTTGCCTCATCGTGAAGTGAGAACTGAATTGATTGAATGAGAACTATATCTAATAAAATTCAAGGAAATACTTTAAATGAGATGAGGCAAAAAATGTATATAATTTAAAGGACATATGAGGGTGTCCTGTTCGTCCACATGAGATTTTTTATATAGAGTGTTACTGTATTTCACTCATTGTAAATTTAGAAACAGTTGTATAATGTTAATAATATGTTTTATAAAGAATGTGCATGATAGGCAACACAATTCTAAATAGGCTGTTATATAAAATAGTTAATGCGTATGTTATTTGTGACTTTAAATTTTATAAAATAATTTCAAAGAAACTCTTGGTGCCCTGGATCATGAGTGCTCAGAGGCCAGATTTGGCCCTCGGGTCGTAGTTTGGAGACCCCTGCCTTAGGCAACTAGCCCTCACATGCTTTGCCATATCCAAATATAACCTAACTTAATTTGATATCCAAAGAAAAGGGACAGCAATTGATTATTATTACTATTTATTTGTTCCGCCCTAAGGTGCTGCATGAAAGGGAGGGAGGACTTTCTAAGCGAAACTAGCTCGTATTAACACATTACACATAGGGAAGACCATGAAAACAGCCATGCAGCCAACCCATCTTAGGATTCGAACCTCGGACCGAACTACCAGTGTTCAAGGACTTTACCACTTGGGTGCTGGTTGGCCTGACAGCAATTAATTGATTGCTCTTTATGTTCATAGGCTAGTGATGTTCTTTGTTGCTACTTTGAACAATGCCTCTATTAAATTCTTGTTATCTTCGTTCTGGCACTGTATTCTGTGCTATAAGCTATGTTGTAAGCATTCTATGGGGAGGGGAAGGTTTTATAATAGTACTTTTATTTTATCTCTGTTCTGCATCAGACATTATAATTATTTTTATAATTTTCACTGTCTAAATATGGCTTATGATAGCATGTTCCATACAGTTATTGTTCTTGTTGCTTACTGTCATCTTTCTGAGTTTGTCACTGCATTAACACAGCATCATATATTTTCTTACAAGCATTATAAGTGATGTTTTAAAAATATAAAAATAAGAGAGAAGTTATTATAGTTGTTATAAAATCCGGCTGGACAAATGGAGGTTAGTAATTAACATATGAACAAAACCTTATTTGTATGTTTGGTTTAGTAGTGACTGAAAATTTCAGAACACTAATAATTAATTCCAAATCCAGTTTTTAGTGAATGGACTGGCTGTTTCATGGCTTTGTCTATATGTAGCATGAATAAGAGCCAGTTTTCCTTTAAAAGTCTTCTGTAAAGACATAAGTCTTTCTTTAAGCAAATTCACATTTTGACATAATCAGTTATCCAAGCAATCAGGGGTATGTTAGTAATATGTATCTAATCCTCTGACATATTTGGCTAAAATCATCCCTATTAACATTTCAAAAAACATCATTTTGCCTTTTTTGAGATTATGTATTTTTAAAATGTACTGGGATTTTCATGTAATTTTGGCATGCTTGGATTGAATTGCTTTTGCATAAGGATTGACTACCCAAATTTGTAAGTTCCCATTATGCCAGGAATGTTCTATTAAACTTTTGGTGGTAGGTTGCAAAAAATTTAAATTTTTTCATTGGGAATAGCATTTTAATTTTTAGAGTCATGTTTTAATTTATGTTATGAAAGTTTTATTAGTACTTGAAAATGAAGTAAATTTATTGACACAGTAATTCCATAAATTAGTCATGTAGAGAAAATTGGTTCAAGGAACAGAGTATGTTACAAGAGATCATTGTAAAGCATACATAACTATGAAGTTGCTTTTTTACATCAAGCATTCAGCTGTCAACTGTGATCTCAAATGTTTGCCCACTGCATACTCTTTAACTCATTAGAACCTTATAGTTTTAAGCCACTCCAAAAAAGGTTAATGTATATAGATATATCTGCTTGTAAAAAATTAAACATTATGTCTATCATTGCAAAATGGAATATTGTACAATATTGAATGTTTAATGGCACATATACACACACAAAAAGAAAAAAAGTTTTACCTCCTGTATGTTCTTTTTGGCATATGTATTTTTATATTTACTTGTTTGTTTATTAAGTAAATTTATTGACACAATGTATCAAACAATACATATAACATTTATATAACAACAACAATGTATCAAATAATACATATAACGTTTAATGTGTTATATAATTCCCATTTAATAATTTAAATTTGTGTTTTTAACCGTTTTCTTTTTATATGTTGACAGTGTTTGCTGATAAATATTTGTGGTTCATTATGTTCATTATGTTAGACATTCATCTAATTAAAAAAAAAAAAAAAAAAAAAAAAAAGATGTTATTTCAGGGTTAAAGCAATTTAGCATGGTCACAAAAATCGGAATTGATGTCACCTGAATTGGCAAACCGTTAAAGCTGTAAAGTTGTGAAAGCTGTAACATAATAAAAACAACAGTTAACTTGTAGCAACAGTAATATATCATATAATGTATAATGTGCACAATATTTGAAGCTGTACAAGATGCAAATTTGAGCAATTCTTTGATTTTTTTAAAACAAAAAGGAATTGCTGTGAACATGGGAACAACAACAATGTATCAAATAATACATAAACGTTTAATGTGTTATATAATTCCCATTTAATAATTTAAATTTGTGTTTTTAACCGTTTTCTTTTTATATGTTGACAATGTTTGCTGATAAATATTTGTGGTTCATTATGTAAAATGAGAAAAAAGGGTACTTCATTTTCTCTATTTACACTGTCATCTATCTGGTTTTACTTGAAAAAACATCAGAGAATTTTACAAAGTTGTCATCGTGCAGAGCCTGAATACTGTGCATATTAAACATCATTTACAACAATAAAAGCTCAAGTATCCAGGAAGCTTGGAAATCCTGAATTCTGGATATGTGAAATTTCAGGAAGTTGAGTATATAAAAAACAGAATTCAGGTTAGAAAAACAAAATTAGTGAAAAAAATACCCACTCTAAAATTATAAAAATAGTCATCTTATTTGTTATTAACTTGAGTATCAAAAACATACTTTTAAAATAGACTTTGAAAGAAAAATGTGCTTTTCAATCTTATAAAAGCCAGTATATTTTGTATACCTGATTCTATTATGAAAATTCTACCAAACATAAAAGTTGGGGAAGATGTGACAAATCATTCCTGTAGAACTTTAATCAAACATATTGTTCTTTATTTAGTTATATAATAGATTCAGATTATGGATATAGCATATAAGAAGCTCAAATCCCTTATAATTTTTCACATTTTCTTGTCATTGTTTATCTATTTTCAAAATCTCATATCGTGTTTCTTTTTTTTCTTTCTTCTTTTTTATGCCTGGATCCTGTAACTTGAAAAAATTCTACTTCATGTGGTTCCAAATATTAATAACTTTTTTAAAATGCAAGTTAAAAAAAAACTTACATCCATCTTAACAAAAATAAATTATTTTAAAATCTTTTCAAAAATTACAGCTTACTGAAAATTAATCGAATTTACATTAAACCAAAATGAACTTCTTAGTAATGTGATGTCATGGCCATCCATTACTGACGCTAAATCACATTGTTTCGTCACAATGCATATGTGTTGATAGAATTGCAAGCTCTAAAATGACATGAAAAATCTGTCATTCAGTAAATTTTTTTGGGGAAAAATTCCTAAAATTTAAAAATATTCAGGGTTTTTCAGCTTTCTGGTTAGTTGAATGCTGATTATTTGGGCTTTTCCTGTATGTTAGGTTATATGATTGTGATATTCGATTTTTTGAAGGTTGGGTTGTCACTGTGTTTTCTAGTTTTTGCAAAGTTCATTTAAAATCTTATGGAATTTTGCTAAGTACTTGTGGCCATTTTGAAAAGTAATAAAAAATATTTTCTTATTATCATCACCTTTAAAGTACTTCCTGCCTATTTTGCTGATTTTCCACAGCATGTTCTGCATTAATTTTTCTTCATCATCTTTTGTATTCAAAATATTGTTTTTTGATTTGGTAAAAATTTCTCGTTTGGTAAAACTCAAGGCATACTACTGCAATCAGCCAGTTGTAATATTATGGCTGGCACTAAAGAATATTTATAAAAAATAAATATGAAAAATAAAAATAAAAACTATTAAAAAGATCTGAAAACATTCAGATTTTATATTATGTCCAAAGGGGTGCTTTTCATTTACACTCACATACACATTTCAAGAGCATTTGGGCCAAAAATATTTAAAAGCAGCGTATCTTTAGAATTTTCGATAGACAGTCTCGCACACTGCAGATAAAAATGCTTTTTTCATACAGTTTTCCCATGACTTACTATGAAATCTTTGTTAATAAAATATTCATTAAAGTTTTACAAAATATGAAATAGCCAATAAAACAAATTCAAAATTCAGGCTTCCAGGTCCTCATATTTGGGTGTAGGACTATGTTGTTCAAAATTTGGTAGCTCTATGTACCATTGTTTTTTCAATGTGTTTTCGTGCAGTTTCTTTATTATTTAATTTGTTTAAATATAATACAGGGCAATAATATTTGTTGGCAACAGTTTGAAAAGTGCACTTCTTCTCCATTCTATGTAATGGACATTTATAGTGAATTGAGGAAAAATGCCATTTTGAGATTAATAGTTCTGCCTAATGCCTCTTTGAGCTAAAAATTTAATTATAGATTGAATTTTTTAAAGACTAGTTTTTTAAAAATTTAAATTTAATATGCCAAAAAAATTTAAAAAATTGAGTACTTTTTTCATTAAATCTTTCATGTTTTTCAGTGTTAAAAATAAGCAAGTATTGAGCTTTTTTTAATTTTATTTAAAATTAAAAGAATAATGTAAAAGTTATTAAAATTCAGAATCATTGTGTCTTTTATTTTATTTTATTTATTTATTTTTTTAGAAATCAAAGATGTGGAATGAAATCAATGTATGCAAAACTGAGAATTTTCTTAATTCATCAGTTACACAAGATTTTTCAGAAACTATTTTGTTATCATCTTTGGAAGTGGATACTTTAGCTACGGTAACTAGTACTCAAAAGGTAATTAAATATGCAGATAAGTAAATTTTATAACTTTGTAAGAATTCATTAAAAACAATATTTATAAACATGTTTTAGGTGAAGTCTCTGAAATTTTGATATTCAGTTCAAAGAGTTGTTTTTTTCTGCGTTATTTATGAAATTTACTTTCAGGTATTCAACAAACCAGCACTGTGTTGCACTTCTTCTCCACTCTATGTAATTATAAGTCTGGGAAGTAGAGTATCTATTTATAAAGCAGATTGCTTTGAATTCATATGGGATATAACATTAGGTAAGTATACATCTTTATTTTAAATAATTTATGTAAAGAATTGTAAATTCATGTATTCATGTGAAAGAATTTTTAACAAAGTATATCAGCTAATATGTACACATTATAAATTTCCAAAGTTTAAATTTTGGCTAATCAACTTTTTTTTTCAGCCCAGTCATTTCTTTTACTTCACATACTTCTTCAGAAAGTGCAATTTAGTTGGCAGGTTTAAGTGTGATGTAAGTGATCTGAAACTATCAGAGCTGACAGTGTGAGTGCTAGAAAGATGAGGCAGAATCTTTGTTAAATATTCTAGATTAAAGGTCCAAAATTCGGAGCTGGGCTTTCAGCTGAGTTTTATAAATTGGTTCGCTTTTTATAAACTTTCAATTTGTTTTGAGTTGATTTTCTATGAATAATGGTAGATATTGTTTAAGTTTATTCCTATAAACAAGCATAAGTGAATGATAAGTTTTGGATTTTAGTTTTACATTTGAAGTGTTGTTATTCTTTATATAAATAGTACATGTTAGGAGATGACAAAACCACACCTGGAATTCATAGGATATAATTTTTGTGAATTAGTTATCAGATTAATTTCTAAATTTTGAGGTAGAACCTTATGCTTCATAAACATTAGATATTTTGGAGCAGGAAGTCTTTGAAAATTATCTGTACCTTTGGCAAGAATTGAACAGGAATCTTCCAGTTGTTATCTGAATGTGTCATAAGAGCATATGGGAGCAATGTCTAATTTTTTACATTTTCCCTTGCTTGAAAGGGAGTTGGAGGGAGGAGATAATACTCTGTCAGTGAAATCCAGTTGGTGACAAACTATCATCTACCATATTTTAATTTGGGTAGCATCTACTAATGAACTTGTCATTTCTTTAATAATTTAATAAAGATACTACCAAAAATTGAAAGCATTTTCTGAGGATAACATCATGATGCGCTGGAAGTGACATGTTCACATTTACATTTAAACAACACTGAACTTGGTGCAACATATTTTGTCTTTTTTTTTTTTTTTTTTTTTCATTTGCGGTTTTGCAGCTGAGGATGGTGGTTTGGTAAAACCATTGAAACTAGTCCTGTGAAAATTTTGTAAATATAACGCTGATTTTTGTTGTTTGACTTCTAAATTAGTATATTTTGTTATGTTTTTTTCATGACACATATTTTTTTCTGCTTGAATAGCTTCACTCATTTTTGTTTTTTAGTGTATCTGTGATTGTGTTAATTGTAATTCTGTTGTGGCTTAATTTTGCAAACTTTCCTTTTCAGATATCTCGATTAAAATAATCAGGAGGGCACAGTTGTCAGAATCTCTCTGAAATAATGGGTTGCATACAGAGAGTGAATTTCAGCCATGCTGCCATGAAATGTATGACATGTTGCTCTATTTTGCTAGAAATATTCAACATAGAATTCTTCATCATTCAGTTGATTTATGTAACCCAGCAGATGAAACTAACTTGCCCAAGATCCAAGTGCAATCCAGAATGCTTTGATCTTTATGTAGAAGGGTCTGAAGCCATTGAGAACATGCCATTCTTTTCTATTCATCAAGTTGTTTTAAATCAAGGGCCCACAGAGATCCAAAACACATAAAGCCGTCTTCTTCAATGCAAAGAACAGTCTGGGGTGGGCCTTGGCCTTCTCTAGAAGTGTATGCCAAGCTGATCTATTATTTGCCATTGTTCACCAGTTTTGATTTTCATGACAGTAAAGCCCCTCAGGGGCTCACTTTTGTGAGTACAGGTGTGGCAATCCCGAGGTACCCTAGCCCTTCAGAGGATCATTTTCTTGGTGAGACAGGTGTCACGATCCTGGAGCCCCAGTGATCTATCCTCTTTTCTGTCTCCTCTCCTCTTGCTTGGAACTTTTTTCCTTCCCTTCTCCCTTGTGGTTTCTCTCTTCGGAGTTTGGGGCTCGTCACGAAAGACTGGAACAGCCCTTGTCTCTAGTTTCCGAGTGGCGAGAAAACTGCCTACGTATCTGCCGTGCGTGGAGATCCGTGTCGCTGGAAAGGAGGGTCCTGGTAGTTGAGGGGCGAGGTACTGTCCCCAACACACTGCTTTGGCCTCTGCTTCAGCTAAACAGGAGGCACCTTAGTCGTCCTCACGGCTGTCAATCGGCTGGTCACTAGTCCTTGTGGTCAGTGGCTTGGGAATAAGCTGTCGGGAGTACCTGCTTTCGGGAAAGCCAACTATGGGGCTTCAGTTTGAGTATAAGTCTGGCTAGCCCTAACACAGTGTTCTATGTTCCTTTGTTGGGCTCTGTGGTGGGCGGGGCCGTTGAAACAATCATTTCTATTTTAATCATGGCCCTATGTTTCTCCTTAAATCAAATGAAAACGATCAAAGTATTGAAGTTATTGACAAATCTCTAAATAAGAAAATATGTACAGATGCAAATGCCAAGGAAACTTCTGAAAAACCGCACTTCCTTGTTGTCTCTAGTCTTTTTGGTGAACTGCAAAAGATGTCTCCTTTTCTAGTAAGCAAATATATCCATTCATGTATAGGTGAGCCAAGGAACATAAAGCATCTCTGATCAGGAGACCTGATTATTGATACTGTATCGGCCACCCAGTCTGCTTCTCTTTCTCGACAAACTAAACTTGGACAAATATCTATAGCTGTGTCAGCACACAAAACACATAATTCTTCTAGAGGTGTGATCTGGGAGATCGACCTTCTGTATGTCTCAGAAGAAGAGTTTGTCTTCGAGTTAGCTGACCAAAATGTCTGTGGTGCTAGGTGGATCAAGATGTGAAAGGAAGGCCAGTTAATTGGCACGAAACACATGATCCTGACCTTCAATATGCCTGATCTACCTAAGAATATTAAGGCCGGATACTTAAATTGTCCTGTAAGACCTTATATTCCAAACCCTATGCGATGCTTCCAGTGCCAACGTTTCGTCCATTCTAAGATGCCTTGTCATGGCAGCCTTACATGCGCCTGATGCTCACAGATTGGCCACGATTCTGAAAATTGTACCGCTGCGCCTTTGTGTATAAATTGCAAGGGTGAGCATCCAGCATTTTCTCGCTTGTGCCCAAAATGGAAATCGGAAAAAGAAGTGCAGACTGCAAAAGTTACTAGAAACATCTCATACGCCAAAGCCAGAAGATTAGTCCAGAGCACACAGCTTCAATCAAATATTTCATATGCCAGTGCTGTTAAATTATCTCGTACAGTTGCCACCCAAACATCAATAAGCACACAGACGCCACCAAACAAAACTCAACAGACTACAAGCAACAAGAGAAAAGAAAACCCAACCCATATAGTACAAACACACACAAAAAAAAAAAAAAGTAATTCAGAGCAAACCCAAAAATGTGAGTCAGAAAATAATAAATAAAAATAAAAGTCCTAGCAATAGCTCTTTTGATGAGATGATTTCTGAATCTGCGGTATTCAGATAGTATAGAAGTGGAGGAGGGACTGGAAGTTCCTAAGCATCTGCTTTCACGCAAAACTAAAACTCAGCACCGAAGGAACAAACATGAATCATAATGGCCACCCTGATTTCATGGAACTGACGCGGTTTCTACCGAAATTTGCTCGACATCAAAGCTATAATGAATGTTTATAATCCTGTGTGCTTAGCAATACTGGAAACAAATCTGAAACCAGAACAACAAGCGAAACTTCGGAGGTATTCTTTCGTCAGGAAGGATAACATTGCAAGTGAGCATGCCAGTGGGGGTGTAGGTCTCCTCACTTCGTTGTACCATCCATCAAATGTTTTTTCTTTGACGACATTCCTCCAAGTTGTTGCTACTCAAGCAAATTTTCATATTGTTGTTTCAGTCTTTTCTCTGTATTTTCCTCCAAATGAGCACATTGATCAACATGATTTAAGTGGTCTTATAGAGAAGCTGCCTGAGCCCTTTATCATAATAGGAGATTTTAATGGCCATAATCCGCTCTGGGGTAGTAAAGATACAAATTGAGCAGATGATTGAAGATGATAGCCTTTGTCTTCTGAATAATGGCCAGGATACTTATTTCCATGAGCCTTCAAGGACATTCCACGCTCTCAACCTTGCCATCTGTTCACCATCTCTGTTGCCATTTTGCACTTTTAGTGTGGGAAATGATCTTCACAACAGCGATCACTATCCCATTTTTATATCTCTTGCATGAAGAGGAGCAAATCCCATGTTGAGATCCTCTCGGTTCATACTCTATAGGGCAGACTGGTAACTTTTCTCTTCCGTTGCAGAACTCACAGATGAAATGGTAGAAGATGTGCATATCGATGACGCTGTTGAAGCTGTTACTAATACTATTATTCAGGCAGCTATGCTTTCCATTCCTAGAACATCAGGAAAAATACTAAAATATACGAAATCATGGTGGAATCGCGACTGTCATGGAGCACTGAAAAAACAGAAAAAAGCATAAGGAATTTTTCGGAGATATCCCACTCTGCGAAACATGATAGCATTTAAAAGAGCCAAAGCAAATGCATGAAAAGTAAAAAAGCAGAGCCAGAGGGATTCCTGGATTTCATATGTGTTGTCAATAACATCCTCTACGCCTAGTAAGCAGGTTTGGGAAAGTGTTCGAAAAACACGTGGAATATATAAAGACCACTCACTTTCCTTTTTGGAAAAAGATGGCTGAGGGATTAGCTCCGTAGAAGAAATTGCGAATACTATTGGTGAGACATTTGCTGTCGTTTCTTCCAGCAGAAACTATTCACTTGCATTTCTCTCTATCAAGTAGCACTCAGAAATAAATCCCATTGCATTCAACTCTTCAAAATCTGAGCCTTATAATAGAGACTTTACTATGCTTGAACTAAGGAGAGTTTTGTAGCAGACACATAAATCTTCTCCAGGTTTTGATGGCAAGAATTACGAAATGCTGAAGCATCTGTCCTATAAGTCACTGACTGCCCTCCTCACTCTTTACAATAGAGTGTGAAAGGAGCGTACTTTTCCCAGTGCATGGAGGAGAGCTGTTGTAATTCCTATTGCTAAGCCAGGGAAAGATCCAAGGAATCCCTCCAACTATCGACCAATTGCCCTTACGAGTTGCATATGCAAGCTGTTTGAAAAAATGGTAAACAGCCGCATAGTCTACTTTTTGGAAAAGAATAATATTATATCACTTTATCAAAGTGGTTTTCGAAAGGGTAGAACAATCGTAGATAACATGCTCCTTTTAGAGACATCCATTCGAAAAGCTTTTGTAAGAAGAAATCACCTTTTCTCAATTTTCTTTGATATAGAGAAAGGTTATGATAAGGCAAGGAGATATGGTATACTTTGTGATCTTCATGATAGTGGCTTGTGTGGCAACCTACCATTTTTCATTCAGAAAGTTTTGTAATCTAGAACTCCTTCAAGTAAGAATTGGCTCTGTTCTGTCAGAAGTTTTCAAACTGGAAGAGGGTGTGCCACAAGGCTGTGTGCTTAGTGTAACTCTATTCAGCCTAAAAATAAATTGTGTGTTAAAACAACTTCCTCGCACCATTTCAGGATCTTTGTATGTTGATGATCTACAAATTAGCTGTCGAGGTTCGGACATGAGACATGTAGAATGGTAGCTCCAGATCGCTTTGAACAGGATCTAGGAATGGGCAAAAAGACAAGGATTTACATTTTCGAAACAGAAGACTGTGCGTGCATTTTTGTAGAAAGTGAGGTGTCCATCCTGAGCCTGAATTATACCTCAATGGGTCTGTGATTCCAGTTGCACCTGAAGTGAAATTTTCACAAGTGTATATTTTAAAATTCAGTTTAAAACAAAAAATATCACGATTTGCTTATAAAAACGTTTGCTGCAGGAAATACACTAAATAGAATATATGTGAAAATGATATCATTACTTACTAAACACTGAAGAATTACTGTATGCATAGTTGCCAAAGTTTTGTGCATTCTGAAAATTTGGTGTCTTCTATAAGGTAGATGTGCTAATATGTAAGTACCATAACCACTGTATAGTCCTGTCATTTGTGCACTGGTTCTCCTTTTGCTAGAGAATTCATGCATCTGTGATTTTTTTAAAAATTATACTTTAGATTTTACTTTAATATTTGCATGTGTCTTAATTTTTAAAAATAGTGTACCTTCTTGAAAAATTTTAAGCACTTAAATTTTTTTAAAAGTCAACCTGTTCATTTCTATAAAATTTGTATCATTGTTGGTATGATTTGTAAAAAGAAGAGGTTTGCATGTTTTGTTAGGTTTCTTAGGATCAAACAAAGCAAATCTTTGATGAGCTGCTCTCCAGATTGTATGTGGATTGAATAAACATAATAAATTTTTGAAGTCAAAGTTTTTACACTTTTTGTCAATTAGAAAATTATTTAAAGGATGCAGAAGTAAAATTTAACAATAAAAAATAAAAAGATCAGGAATTAAATTGAAAATAACATCATGCAGCAGAATTAGCACAAATAAACCAAAAAATAAAAATTCTCCCTGACTTCAGTTTAGTTCAATTTTATTGAAGCATTGAATGAATGCAGTGGAATGAATACATTGATTATACAATATACAATGAATGCAGTGGAATAAATACAATGAATATACAGTATACAATTAATGCAGTGTAAGTTACTAGATAAATCAGGTCCTGTTCCAACCCTTTCAACACCATAGGCAGTCATTACATTTGACACCTAGTATGAATTAAATGTATTCATAATATAAAGCAAAATTTATTTAGTCATATTTGTCTCTTCCCAAATAATTGAAAGCTAAAATTTGAATAACTTTTCAAGCTACCTTTATATAAAATGTGTAAAATTAATGTTAAATTGGACGTATTTCAATCTGAATGAACCAGCTTTAAATTTTAGCTCTTGAATCTTTAAAATGTCTTCTCAAGATTAAGTACTTTTCTTTTAACTTTACCATGATGGCTTTTTTCAAGCTTGGGGTAATTTTAGATTTTGCTTGCCTATAAATAAAGTAATGCAAAAATAAATAAAAGATTTGATAGAAATGTGGGAAAAAATTCTTTTCAGTTTGTTGTTAAAATATTTTTAAAGTGTATAGTCAAATATGAAAAATAGAACTGTAGATTTTCATAATTATACTGAAACCAGCAACTTTCATATACAATTAAATCCTAATAACATTTTAAACAGTTGCAATCCTAACATTGGGAAGGTGATGAAGGAATTTTTTTTAGAATTTTTTTTTTCTCCCTCTTCAAATTTGATTTATAAGTAATATATATAATGCAGAAAAATTAGAGTGTGCTTATAGCAACCATATTTGGCAAGGTTCATCACACGTGAAAAAAAATATGAAATGGATAAGCAAAAAAGTGTCATCTTTTTTAAAATTCTTCTTACAATCTTTTACTCATAATAATTTGGTACTTACATATTATTGCAACTACCTTAGTAGAAGTTCCAAAATTTTCAGAATGAGTGAAGATCTGACAACCATATACATAATATAATTCTTCTGGCAATCATGCCCATGCCAGTCCTTTGATCAAGTAAGATTGTCATTTTTGTATGCCTGCATTTTGTTGTATTCCTACTTCCAACAGTTTTTAAAGACAAAGCGTGATATTTTTTGCCTTAAACTCAATTTTAAAACATCTGGTTGTGAAATTTGCCAGCAGTGGAAGAAAATTAAGTAAAAATTCTGTAAGAATATGGCATTTTGCTGCAAAATCGCTAAAGAGAACAATTGTTTTGAATCTATTGTTAAAGCGACGAAAGATTTCTTCCCAACAAAAGAAATAAAAAACATTTATAAGTAGGTTTACTGATTGTTTTTTTTAGTATAAATACCTGATTAGAATGTAAAATATGTGTGTAATAATATTTATGTATGTAATATATAATTTTTTCAGTTGATTTGAATGATTACTTATACTATCATTATTCTTTTTTCTGTGTAAAAAAATTCCCATTTGTGCCAGTGTAGTTGTGCAAATATGTTAATACCAATATTTTAACAGTTTTCATATTTTTTTTCCAGTTAGTGATGCAACATTGCTCTCATTATCAGACGATTCTCAATATTTGCTAATTGCTGAAAGCAATGGATTGTTTAATCTGTTCCAAATTCCTACCAAAAAGAATTTATGGTCTCATGTAAGTAGAATGTGTGCTGTTTTAATTCTTACTTCTTAACATTTTTTTTTAAGATTAAAATGAAATTTGCTTGGTTTAGTGTAGTAATTGAATGTATGCTTTATTTCTTATAATTAAATTTTTTAATGAAGGTGTGCTCTACAGTCAGAGTTGATAGCATAACTATCAAAAATGCTTTCCTCAGTGTAGATTTATCAGGTAATATTTCTTCAAAATTCCTTTGTCAAAATTAAAAAAAAAATCAGATTATTGTTCTCTTGAGTATAAGTATTTATTATTTTTCTTTTCAGGCTTCTTAAGAATTCATATTTTCTCAGAAGAAAATATTGTATTTATTTTCTCAAATATTGAAATTTCAGGATTGGATGATGGTAAGTTATGTTTTCAGGGTTTGCACTGTCCTTAAAAGTCTTAGGTTTTTAGAAACAATTTTTGGTCCTTAAAAGTCCTTAATTTTTGTCAAAACCGGGAAAGGTCTTTAATTTTAATCATCTAACAAACACTTTTGTCTGTTTTTTGATGATTGCCATTTTTTTTTTTTATTTTGGAGGAATATTTTTGGCAATGCATTCATAAATATGTATTTGATGGGTAAACATTTGGATTCTTTACTACTTAATCTAAACATTGGGCACTTGAGTTTTAGGCATAAGGGGCTGCCTCAATTGAAGCATGAACATTTCAAAATAATTTGTTTTTTTGTGAATGAAGACTTCATAAAATATTACATCAAAAATAACTTTTACCTTTTTGGAATATGAGTTCTTCCATTACATATTTTGTGTGCTAAATTTAGCAACTTAACATTTTGTTGATTTCAAGATTAGTTTGTATGAAAATTTTTTATTCAGAGAGTTGCAAAATTTTGACATTTTTTTTAATAAACATTTTACTTATCTTGCATTGATAAATACATAAAAATAATGATAGTATATTAAAATTAAATTTAAGAAATAACATTAAAAAAAATATTTCTATTTTCTTCTGCCATATTTTAAAATGGCATGTTTTCCATTTTGGTTACTAAGGAATATTTTGATTCTGAAAAATAAACAAGCTAGTAAAAGCTATAAATGTAAAACACAATTTCAGAAATACTTTTTAGGACAAAACGAAAAAGCCATTGTAATTATTTAAAAATTAATTTCATTTGTCCTCTTTAATATTATCTCAAGAGTTTTCTTCCCCATGTAAATTGCTTCAGAATATTTAAATGTGTATCAGTTTTCTCTTGAAAATTCACTTTACACTTCTTTTTTCTGAAAATTTGTTTCCAAAAATCTGTCTTTTTTTTTTTTTTTTTTATTTCTACAGACTTGGTAGGGATAATTTTTCTTTCGGATTTTAGATCTTACACCTTAGAAAATCTAAAAGCACAATTTATAGATTATTATTTTGAAGGCAAGATTTATAGATCTGCAATTTCCAGAAAATGTGATGAAAGGAGAATTATTCACGGTATTAAGTCAATGTGTATTACAGAAAAATTATTATTTGGGAAGAAAAATTATTTTAATAAAAGCTATAAATTTTTTTAGTCTTTTGCATAAAAATTAATATTTTTTTTCACACAATTAACATGAAGACCAACATACTGAGATCAAACCTAGCTTTAAATAAATGAATTAATTCATTAGATGTGAAATGTATTATAAGTTACATTTCGATTTTCCTGCTTGAATTTTCAGATATTCGAAATTTTGAGAAAGATTTTAAATTCCAAACATCAAATCTTGTAGCTTTTTTTTGTCATTTGAATTTTTTGAATTCTAAACTTAAGAATCATTAAACATTTCAACTGAAAACTTTAGAATGACTAGTTAACTGATGCCCGGCATAGACGAATTCACTTAAAATTAAATGTATTGCACTGGTATCTGAACCATCAGTGTTACTTCTGTTCTTGCCAAGTGTTGTATTAGTTCAGTTTGGCATCTAGCAAAATCTGTCAGAATTTTTATATAATCAATACACTGTGCATCGTTGAAAATTCTTGAAACTATCTGTCGAATCATCCCAATAACTCTGGACATAGATAACCTATTGCTAATAAATCTAGCAGTTCATGCCATGCTATGTAAATGTTTTGTAGGTATATATTCCAACTGTCTGCCAGTCGAAAACTTGAACCGTGACTGTGTATGTTTGAGCTGTTTTCCAAATATCAGGGAAATCAAAATTGATGGTTTAAAAGGAAAACATACGTACAATTACTGCAATGAATTTGTTTCACAAATGCAGATATAATACAAAGTTTAATTCTCCAAATTTCTATGGGCATGCACAGATGCTCAATGTGGAAGACCTTTGCGACACAGCAGACCTCTGCTCCATAGTTTACTTCCTGAGTTCTTGCCATGCAGAAGAACAGACCCAACTTATTCAAATTGTTAACAATTGGACCCGTAAAGACTACCAATTGACGTATCATTTCATTTTAAATTTCTAAGTAAATAACTCCAACTCAGAAAAAAGAATAAAAAAAAGTTTTTTATTTTAATCTTCGGCTTAACGGTTACACAACCTGCGCACAGAAAATAAATCCGAAATAGAGTTTGGAAAGAAGTTTTTAAATGGAATCTGTAGGCATAGGAGGGTATTATGACTGTAGAAAATGAAAGATCAGACTTAAAATTGAAAGTTTACAGGGTATAAATTGAATAAAACTTCACACTACATTGCTTGAAGTTTACAGTTATTTGGCAATGGATTATACTACAACTTTCCTTTGGGCTTCAAAGCTTTCATGAAGGTCAGGTCAGATGTATGTGATGAACAAAGATTAGGAAGAAGAAAAATATCAACATATTAAAAAAGAAGTTTAATGTCGGCACCAAAGCCGGGGTAACTAGTGCAACGGCACTGAGCAACAGAACTAAGGGGTGAAAAATTTTAGGAATACCAGGGAGTAAAAAGCTTAGCGTCGTCTCTGTTCTAGTGCGATGTTTGTGACAACTTAGAAAGAAGTGTGCCAAGCAACATACGAAAAATATCACAAACATCAGTATGTTGTATTTTGACAGAAGCTTTGCAGAAATGTTTGTATCTACAAACATTGCTTGATGCAATGTTATTGAAATGAACATTTGATGATGAAGTTGAAAGACTTCTATCTCGAATGAAGCATTTGACAAAACAGGAAATTGAAAACTTTTATCAAAATTGAAATCATTGTCAAACCAATAGTTCTTCCCAATGGTCCAAAAATTTTTGCATGCTCAACCATTGATGAAATAAATTATGGTCTCTCCTTAATTACCAAGGAATTATTATGGAAGGTAGAGTTTCATGAGAAAATTGTGTTAGCTGCAGCATATTAATGTGAGGTGTTGCAAAATATGTGAAGAAATTGTATAAAAATTATTTAACTTGCTCAGGGATGCAAAATTAATTTTGAAGGACTTCTGTACATGAGAAAATTGGACAAGTAAGATAAGCCTTGACAGCAATGCAAATTTTTACAAATTTGTTTGTTACTCTGACGATAAGCCTGCAACGGGCAATTTGAAATTGATTAAATTGTTACAAACATAGCGTAGGAAATTAAATTAGCAATTAATAAAGAAGTGTGTCACTGCATGATTTTTATTCCAAAAATGCAATTATATATCAAAAACTAATGTTTATTGCAAGCAAGTAACATTTCACAGAGCAAAGGGCAGCAAGTCGCTCGCAAGCTGCAGTTTGGCCATACCTGTTATATACTGTATATTAACTCAGTTACAACTTCAACAAATCTACATTAAAATTTGACACTAAGTGTGTCAAAGTGCAGAAAAAATGTGTATGAACCCTGTTCTTGATGCATTAATTAGAAATTAATTTTTTAAAAATTTCTTTTTAGTATTTGACTATCAAATGATTTTATTTGTAAATTTTAATCCATACATATTTACTAAAATTTTTTTCCATATATTGTTGCAGGTGAGGAAGATAATACCTGTTCAGAAGCATTTGATGTGAGTTCGTGATGTTGTTATTATTTACTCATAATAAAATAAAGAAAATGAGGTTATTTAATAGATATAAAACTAATTCCTTGAAAGCAGTCAATCTTTAAAAAGTATATAATTTTTGTTTTTTTTTTTTCCATATAAATAAAAATACAGTACAAAGTCTTTAATCTGGACGTCCATAATCCGGAATGATCTATAATCCGGACCTGAAAGCTACAAACTTTCTGCACATGCGTAGCGTTTACACATGTGCATAATACGTTTACGCATGTGCATAATATGTTTATGCATGCGTGTTTAATATATAACTTATGGTGTAAGCTAGGCTAAAATTATCTAATTATCTATTTCAGTTAATGTTGCAGATTGCATTGTTCCTTAATCTCCTAATTGGATCCGGCTTATTATTTTTTGCAGACTGTTAGAGCAACGAAAAAATTTCGATTGACAAGTTAGTCGGTATTCTCGACACAGCAATTACAGGACTTGAACAGCGGAACTTTGTAACTGAACAAGAAATTATGTCTGTTTATAGAATTAAAAAGAAAGTATTATCACATGAAAACGAAGCAACTTACATTGAAAGAAATGTTTAATAAAGTAAACAAATAAATATTAAGCATTTTCTTTTTGTAAATTTTGATATCCTTTAGATCATAATTGCTCTTTATTTCATAAATTACGGTTTCATATTTTTAATTTTATAATTTCTGCATGCCATCTTATCAGGTTCAATGTTTCTTCTAACCTCTTCGGAAACATACAATGACCTGACTAGAACAGAGAGCTTACTAAAGCTATGTTCACTAATTGTAGTAAGTAGACAGGATACAGACGAAGGGTATACAAAACCCTTTATTTTTTTTCTTTATATACAATGACTTCCGTACTTCGGAATACAATGACCCTCCACTCGGGGTCTAACTTAAAAGATATCAAAATAAAACTAAACTCTAATTTAACTTTAGAATAAGATTGGCCTTATAATAACAGAAAGCGTATGTAGCACAGAGACTGTGAACACTACAATACGTTTAATTTATCAAGAGGATTAAAACCTCTGGCCTGGAAGGCAAAGTAGCAACTGCGTAACTTCTAAGGTAAGCGGCCTGCTTCGAACTCACGGCTTCCTCTCTCTTCTGCTTGGCAAAAAGGCCACACTTAAATACTTGGCGTTCGCCAGACAAACTTTGCATAAACTCCTTCACGCTTATAATTCTGGCCGGAAGTAGAAAATAAGAAGTGATAGTAAAGATTTAAAATAAAATAAACGTTAGTAAAACTTAAGATCCTTACATACTTCCCGCCAGAGTTAATTAGTTTGAAACTGAGGTCTAAAACGACCTTGTTGAAAACTTTTAGCTCTAGAAACTAACGCGAGGCCAAACTTTTACAATCATAACTTAGCTAGAAACTAGAAAATTTTAAAAGAAAGAAATTTGTTACAATAGCAGCTCCCGGAATATACAACAATCTTTTTTCTTTTTCATCTGTACTGCATCTAAACAGGAGCTTTATTCAATTCTGGTTCCTTCCAGAGATCTGGAAGGAAAACTAGTTTAATGAAATGTTACACAATGAAATGGCAAGTAACATATAGAATTATACTTTTCTTAACATTCTTATTTCATTCATGACTATTTTAATTATCTCTCCCCGTGCTCTCTGACATGTGTTGTAAAAAACACCAAACACGAATGTGTTTTCTGTCTATGTGTTCAAACACTTCCTCCTACAATCAAAACACTAACGTGTTAAAATTCAACATACGAGACCTCTTAACACACCCTAATTTCAACTCTAGACCCTGAGGTACTATTCTGAAAGTGGCTAACTCTAAAGTGTAGCGTCAGAGAGCCTAACTACATCATTTAACCTTTAACACATATTCACCATGATTTAATCTTTTTTACAGTCACACGAATAACAAATTTTTTTAACATTACTTTCACTTTTACCATATCACGGTATTTCTTAACATTTCAAAATAACAGTTCACATGTATACAAGAACATATCAGATGCCGTTAATTTTACACATTTGAAAACATACATTAGTAGTACATTGTTAACTTCTATTCTTTTCAAAGCAAGTGCCAATTCTTTCTACATTGAAATAATACTACATTTCAAAAAGTCTTTCAGACTAAAACTTCTTTCTTGTTAGAATGTTTTAAATAAAATTTATACAATAACTTTTTACAATATTTAAGTCTTTATACAACGCTATTATACATCAACTTTAGTTTTACACGCGAGTAATTGAAAAACATAATAAGAAAATCGGTCACAACTCATTTCTCGCCCTTTTGGCGATAAAGGTAGACCTCGCATGAGGTAAAACTTCTTGAAATCTGCCACTTGCAGTAAGAATGAAAGATTAACTTAAGTTTGTCAAAGTAACATAAAATTTTACTTATCTTTGTAATATTCGGACATCCTTTTCTGGGCCCAGTCCTTTTAAAGGTGCTGCAGACCGTAGCTTGGTTGATCCTCCTTCTTGTACGGGCTCGCCCTTCAGTGCTTTTCCTCTGGAAGCTTTCCGTTTTTTTCACCACTACGGCCACCCTTGAACATCTTCCTTCTGTTCTCTGCTTGTGGTCTTGGCCGTTTGAAGGCAGCTGGTCTTGGTGGAACCGGGAAACTTCTGTCGTGATACTGCTTGGACCTCGTTGTTGGCCGTTCAAATTTTTCTTGTACTTTTTCCTCCGCCGCTGATGGCCCTTCCGCAGTTCGGCGACTTTTGCTGCGGAGAGTTCTGTCGGATGAGTCAATCTTCCGTTTCACAGCCGGGTTATAGTTGCCGTCCTTTCTCCCGGTCTTTTCCACATACGTCGTCCTTCTCCCTTCTTCATTCTGGGGGTGTTTCATGAACTCTGTTTTTGGACGGTGGAACGGCTTTCTTTTTCTTTGTTACCTTCAATTTTTCCGCGGGCAATTTTTCTTTCACTTGCTTCTGTCTCTCATTGGCTTGCCCTTGTACTTGTCGTTTTTCCCCACCTCTGGAACTTGTACCTGCGGTGTCTGCCGTACCGGATCCTGCAAAAGATCTGAAAAGATTTGCATTTTATTACGGTCATAGAATGGTTTTTATTCTGGTCAATTTTGCGGAACAGGTTTCACCATTTCTTGCCTTTTAACCACTACAACAGCGTGAGTTATTTTTTTCTATAACATATGGTCCTTCAAATCGTGGAAAAAATTTGGCAGTTTTTATCTTCTGGTGCTGAAGAAAGTGAATGCTTAATTTTTAAAACTTCATCCCCTACTTTATAAGTTTACTCCCCGTCGTTTCAAATCATAATAGAGCTTCTGTTTTCTTTGTGCTACTTCCGTATTCTTCTTTGCTTCCTTAATTAGTTTTTTTCTATATCACCCCATTTTAAATTCTGGGGCTCTTTGTTGCACATAAAATAATTTATCTAACGGCGTTATAATCTTTCTGCCTAAGAAATAACTCAGCAGGAGTTTTGCCCGTTGCAATCATGTTTTGCGGTCCTAAGGGCGAAAGCAAATTCATTGACATAGTTATCCCAGCTTTTATGAAAATTTTTAACATAACTACGGATAATTTTTCACTATATTTCTATTGACCCGTTCCGCTATATTTGATTGCGGCCGATACGGGACCATTTTTAAATGACGTATGCCCAGTTTTTGGCACATGTCTTCAAATATATTACTTACAAATTGAGGACCATTATCCGATATAACTTTTAGGGGCGCCCCGTATTTTAAAATATATTTATTTAAAATAGAATCAGTAACTAATTTCGCGGAGGCTCGTTTTAAGGGAACAATTTCGGTCCATTTACTAAAATGATCAACCATAACAAGGAGATAGCGACTTTTATTTAACTGACGTTTTGGGAAAGGGCCCAATAAATCGATGCCAATTATTTCATTTGGAAATTCGGATTTAATACTATTTAGAAACCCGGCCGGGCGGAAATTAATATAATTAACTGCTTGACATGTTGGGCAGGACTGGACATACGCCCTTGTTAACTTTTGCAGTTCAGGAAAGTAGACTGCCTCGCGTACGCGTTGGATAGTTTTTTCGAATACCAGCATGAGAAGCTAAAGGGCTGTCATGGAAGCTCCTGCAGGATATTTAATCTAAGACTAGCTGGGATAACAGGTCGAAATTCGTTGTTGGAATTCGTAGTTTTTTGTATAAAATAATAGACCATCTATTAGTTCGTAATGGGCCGCCCTATTTCTTATCGCCACAATATCTTGGTGGCTAAAAATTTTCAGGATCCTTCAAATACTCATAAATACTTCCAAACTCAGGATCCTTACCCAGTTTGGTTATTACAGTTTCTCGGGAATTTATTGTACACGCTGTGAGCATTGCAACTTTTACGGTATTACCCTGTTCGTCTAATTTAATTCGTGATAGGGCATCTGCTACGATATTTTTCCTTTCCGGGGGTATGCTTGATTACCAGATTATATTCTTGCAGCTTGAGTGCCCATCTTATTAACCTTGGGGATAAATTTTTTCCTGAGTACAATCTAGTTACCGCCGCATGATCAGAATATACTGTTATCGGCGCCTTTCCAAAATAGACTCGGAACTTTTGCACTGCTAACAGAACTGCAAGTGCCTCTCTCTCGGTCGCGGAATAGTTTCTTTGTGTTTTGATTTAAAGTTCGGCTAAAAAATGCCTACTGGCTGCTGATTTTGCGAAAGTACCCGCTCCTACCGCATAATCCGAAGCATCCGCTGAAATTTCTAAATTTCATCCTTTTCAGGAAATTTCAACACAGGGGCTTGCGTTAATGCTTGTTTTAATTTTTCGAAAGCACTATTGGCTTCGGCCGTCCACGAGAATCTTGCCTTTTTTCCTTTTTAATTTTAACAATGGCTCAGCGATAGCCGCAAAATCTTTTATAAAGGACCTATAATATGAACAAAGTCCTAGAAAAGAAGAGAGCTTCTTTGCCGTGTTTGGAGTCGGATACTTTTGTACAGCGATTATTTTTGATTCATCTGTC